CCCACCGAGGGTTCGGATCCCATGTGGAGACCGGTTCCCGCTCACTGGCTGAGCGCAGTGTGGGCGCAACACCGGGGGTTGCGATCCCGTTGCCGGTCACGAAAAGAGACAAAAAGGAAAAAAAAAAAAGAAATGCCTATAATATGGTGTCTTTTTTCCCCCCTAACATTGTTCTTTAATTAACAAAGAGGCAGTTAAAAATATTACTCAGGGTGACAGGTTTATGACTTTTACTTCAACATTGATTTACTCCATTCCAGAAATGGAGAGGACATTGTTTTTCCCTTTGCTGTTCTACATTGGATTGATTAAACATTTATGGCCTTCTTAATGGATCCAAACTCCTGAACTGGGTTACTGATAGACATGACAACTTTAACTCAACCAAAGATAAATTTCATGCCACAGTAAACATATGACTAAGATATTTTCTTGCTATATGTTTGAAGGATAAAACCGTTTCGGTCTTGTTTAATGTGTATCTGAATCATCTGTCCAGGTAATTGCTTCAAATACACATTTAACCATATCCCAGCATCTATAAGTCACCACACCTGGTAGGCAAGTAAGAGAAATATGTTTCTTTCCATCCCAGGTTGAGTCTAAAGGAAGTTTGAAAATAGTTGTGTGCTTATTTATTTATTTATTTATTTACTTACTTACTTACTTACTTACTTATTTTTTGCGCTTGAAATTGACCCTTTGTTGTTCTGGAATGAGAAAAGAGCCAATCTGTCCTAAACCAACCACTGGGGGGGAAATCCTCTAGTAGATATGAGGAAAAACACAGAAGACACAGCTACAAATCAGATAAGTTTGGGATTATAAAAGTGGTTATTTTCTGTTGTTTCTTTTTGCACACATTTATTGTTTCCTGGGACCAATGGTATCAGAGAATATTGTCTGGTACTATTTGGAGGAAGAAATGTGACTGAATACATCTTAATAGGTATCACCTGTCTGAGGGAAATGTTTGAGTCCTGCTTTTCCCCAAAACAAGAAACAGTTTTAAACTCTGACACTGTGCTGCAATAAAAGTGAATTGAAGTGAATTGAAGGCTCTAATAAGTCCGAGTACAACACATTTGTTCAAGCAATCTTCTCTACCATTGGAATCACAAATATTCTGAGTCTGGTTGCATTTTCTGGGCCAATCCCACACCTACAAGCATAGAGGTAGACAGTGTCTTTCTCGAAATCGTGACTGAGATCCAGTTTTGCTGCTTGCACACTGCTTATCTGCAAATTCCGGGCAGGCCACTTTGTATACAGTGCAGCATTATAAAAGGTGAACAGGGAAGAGGAGCGGGGTCTCATCTCTCGGAAGGAAGGAGACATTTCAACGCTGTACCTCATAGATATGTACAATCAATTATGTTTCAATAAAAAAGAAGAAGGAATGCAATGAACATTGGTTAACCACTGACAAGGCCTCCAGGTGCAGGGTTAGGCACCTGATACCTGCTCCATGTGGGGCACTCGTCTAAATCAATGAGCAGAACAGGTGGAGATCACTGCCTTCAAGGATCTTGTGTTCTGGCACTGGTGAGAGCCCTTCTTCATTTCTGTGATCAAAGCTACTTCGTTTTTACATGCAGTGGGGGAGGATTGAGGCAGCCTTCTTCAAAAGGGAGTTTGAAAGAAAAAAATGGAAGGAAGGAGGAAAATGAAGGAAGGAAAGAATGAAGGGAGCAAAGAGGAGGAGAGGGAAAGAAGGAAGGAAATAAAGGGAAGGAGGGAGAAAGGACGGATGGAAGAGAGGGAGAGAAGGAAGGAAGGAAGGAAGGAAGGAAGGAAGGAAGGAAGGAAGGAAGGACAAGAGGGAGAGAGGGAGGGAGAAAGGAAGGGGCAAGGATAGGCAGGTAAAAAGGTAACTAAGATAGAAAGAAGGAAAGAAATGCTCACTGATAAGGATGACTAACTAGAGACTCCACAAAAGGACCCCTTGACCATCCCAAGCTTAACAAGAAAGATAAAGTCAAAAAATCCATTCACCTGGGAGACTTGAATATTCTATACACTTTGTCCGTGAAGCCTCTGCCCCAAACATAATCTGTGGAATCTCCTTGGTTTGCCTAAGGGTTTCTGGCCTCCCAGGAAGATGGCATTTAAGCCAGGAGTCAATTTGTGATCCTTCCTGTGTTCCTGTACCAAAATAAGAATTCCTCTAATGTGCCCTGCTTGGAGGAGCCCAAAGAGCCTCATAGGAAGACCTATAAATACCTCATCCTGCATCAGGAAAGATTTGTTCCCTGTAACAAAGGGTACGAAATGGAATCTTGGCTCTTCACTTTTAACAGCATGGGCTCCCCTCGCTCTGCTGCGGAGCTTCTGTTTCATGTTCTATCTCAACATCTAAATCCTCCAAGAATTATTGTAAAACCTGCTTGTCGCTGAGAGGGATCTTGTCGAGCTGGCACGGCACTGTAGCCAGTGATAATGAATGGGTCAGCATAATTACCATGTTTCTTCACACAGGCAGCCAGCTGCTCTGCCAGATTGTGAATTTTTCATTTTCTTTATTTCAAAATCCGGGGTGTTCCTATGAAAACTTAATATTTGAACTGTGGCAACGTAGATACTGAGTCAAAGGCATTCTTACTCATTTTCCCCAGTCCTGAAATAAGTGTCTCCTGTCTCATTACTTCTGGGCTTTTATGAAATTAGGATTTACCTGCTTTCCCCATGAAGATCCACACCTTTCTGCAATTTTAAGCATGTTAGTTGAAATGTGATCCAGCTAAATTCAGGTGCTAGAGGCTGGCAAGAGAGTTAAATAAAACTGCATGATTTGCCTTTAACAACAATTTTAAAAAATAAAAATAACCTTTAGGGTCTTCTCAAATACAAACAGAAAGATAGAATTATTCTGGCTTGGTTCCACAAATCTAGCATTTTATCCATCGTGAGAGAAAGTTGTGGTAGAATCCATAAAACAAGATAGCTGTTTGACATTCAAGAACACACGCAGAATTCCAGATAGAAATACCCAATTAGTCTTCACTTCAGATTCAAGGATTTTATTCCAGCCCATACAATTCCAGGAGGTGGTATGGAATTGGGAATGGCTTCTGTGGGAAACCCCACCCATGCCTTCCCCCTCTCCCTCCTCCCACCATGTAGACACACACATACTCTGTCCATGGGTGTGGGTATTATTCTTAGAACTCCAGGGTCACCACATAGCCACCCTCCCCAGCCTCCTAGAGAGCAGACAGTGAGTCCCCTGGGGTCTCTTGTGCACACTTTCTTTTTCCTTCCAACTCCCTTTTTGCCTTTTTTGTTCCTTTCACAACCCTCACCTGGGTCTGTGCATGAGTGTATGTGGAAAGGACTCTGGAAGGGCCGGAAAGACATGGAGTGAAATGCTCCTACTCCTGAAGGTGGAGGTAGGAAGGGACAAAGCCCCTCTTGGCACTGTTGGATACAAGGTGAAGACAACTTTAACATGTGTGAACTGCAACAGACTGAGAGGTTAGGTGTTCCGCAGAAGCCTGGGAAAGGGAGGTGTGGGTGTGCTGGGTCAACTAAGTCACAGAGCTTCCTTTGCTGCAAATCTTTCTGAGCCTTTCTGATGCTCTTCTGGGACAGCAGCTTCCTAAATGCATTTTCCCAGAAAAGCACCTTCTCTGTGAGATGGGTTTGGGAAACACTGCCTGCTGCTTAGTGGGATGGAGCAAGCATGGGCAGCCCAGTGAAGTCACTGGGAGGTTCAGAGAAGCAAAAGGAGCTTGAAGGCAGAAGTGGTTTCCAGAAGGTTCCGTGGGTCCTGCTGAGTTAGGATTTGCATGTGATGTTGGAAGGACATTTCAGGTAGAAGGCAAAAAAATTAATTATCGGGGATCTCGGGGAATTAGCAGGCTTAATTACTCTTCTGACTCCTCAGAAAGTCGTTCTGCTTAGAGAATTATTCCCCAGGAAACAAAACCCGCCCACACTCTTCTTAAGAGGTGAGTTCCCAGAGTTCTCTGTATGTAATTATGGTGGCTGTGTTTGCTTTTAAAAGCTACACAGGAGGTTAGGAGCTTATAAGGTGTTGGTAAGGATCTATTTCTTGGGGAATGTGGAGTTTGTACACTCATGATGTATGTCTGTAGGAATACTTCAACTAAAAGTTTTTAACAAGAACTATATGTCCATAAAGGGAAATGCGGAAAATAAATAAAAATGGAAAGGGGGAGAAGCTAAGAATAAAAAACTAACACTTACTCATGCAGTTTGGCTCCAGAGATTACTACCAGCATGTGGGAATATGTGTGTATATGTATGTGCAAATATGCACACAGATATAAATATGTAAATAAGCATGCACACACATACACACACATGCGCATATGTATATTGTGCACTCTGATGCACATATACATACATGTGAAGGTTCTTCAAAAAGTTCATGGGAAAACTGCATTATCCTTTTTTTTTTTTTTTTTGGCTGCTGACCTACAAGGGGATCTGAACCCTTGACCTTGGCCTTATAACACTGAGCTCTGACCAACTGATCTGATAGGCCAACTCCATTATTATTTTTTAATTCTATTTTCCCTGAACTTTTTGAGATATCCTCGTATACACACACACACACACATATATATACTGATTGATATATGATATATCCACCTGATATATACGCATACGATTTATGATATATGCATATACATACTGATTGAAACGGCATTGCACATACATCTTGCAATCTACCTTTTTAAAAATTTGTTTGTGTAGTGAGCTTTCTCCTGTCATTAAGAATTCTTTGTAAATGTTGGTCATTTATCCTATTCTCCGGGGCAGAGGGACCAATGTCTTGATTAGCTCATCCTGGAATCCGACTTTGGCCTCTGCGCTGTGATCAGTCCGATGTTTTTGCTTCCTGATTACTGCAAGGCGGTGGGGGGCGGGTGGTCCTGCCTTGGCCCTGCGGGGACGAGGGTCCTCAGGCGGGTCCCTCCACGGCAGGTGTGCGTCTGATGGCCTGCTCTCTGCTCTCTCCTCTCGCCCCGCAGTGCCCGGCTTCCCGTATCCAGCTGCCACCGCAGCGGCCGCCTACCGAGGGGCGCATCTGCGAGGCCGCGGCCGCACCGTGTACAACACCTTCAGGGCCGCGGCTCCCCCGCCCCCGATCCCGGCCTACGGCGGGTAAGTGGGGCAGCCTCCCAGGCGGGCCTCCTTGCACCAGTCCTCCCTCTCTCCCCTGCCAGAGGCACGGAGCTGCTTGCGAGCGCATGCTGGTCTTCACTGCCCCACCAGAACCGCCCTAGCATGCAGCCCGGTGCGCGCCTGCCGTGGAGCACCTTGCAAAGAGTATTGAAAAATGAGTGTAATTTGTCCTGTCATGGTTGGTGCCTTTAAGCATTCTACATGTCACATGTTGTTATGTAAATTCTCTTTGAGACTGAATGCTGGAGAACAGAGAAATGGTTACAGCCAAAGATGTAGTTCTGATGATTGCAAGCATCTGGTTGTTAAGGAGGTTGGACCACGTTTGCCCCTTGAATTCCTTCACGGAGGGACGTTGGGTACTCATACATAAAAATCACCCGGGTGGTCTTGCTTCCTTCCCCAAAGACATCTTGCGCTTCAAGGTTTATGAACCTTTGCCTGAGAAGAGAAAATTAGGTGTTGAGTCCAAGGCAAACATTCGAGAGTTCAATGAAATTGGAATTAAGATGTGTTGTGGTTGCATTTTCCAAAGTGGCATTTGTGTTTCTTTCTCCTCTGGGGGGGTGGGAAGTGCAAATTCATCTGTTTCCTATTGCCGGTTTGGCCCTTCTGTGCATGGCCTTTGCTGTGGAATATCAAGGAATGGTGGTGGTTGCTCAAAAAAGATGGTGCTGGTGTGGTGGGTGGCAGTCCTGAAGTTACTGCTCTCTCTGCCCTTCTGTTAGGGATCCTGGTAGAACATTCCTGCACCCCTGGGGTCAGAGAAAGACGGATACCTCTAAAGCAGTGGCTCTATACCAGGAGACATTTGCAAGGTCTAGAGACATATTTGGTTGTCACAACAAGAGTGGAGAGGTGCAATAGCATCTACTGGGGGGAGTCCAGAAAGCTGCTAAACTTCCTACAATGCACAGGACAGTCCCTCCACCACAAAGAGTTATCAGGCTCAAAATGTCGATCATGCTGTAGTTGAGAAACCTTGCTCTATGGAAATTTCAGCTGTATCCTAGAGAGTCTGTCATGAGTCTTCCCTGGCTAGTGACTGACTTTCTGCTCTGTAAAAAAATATGGCTGCATTCAGGACTGTGTGAAAAGGGTCAAACACTATTTTTATAGTTCTCTTGCTTATAAGTCTTTTAGAAAATCTGAATCAACCTAGACCATCTCTCTATTATACTGATGACAAAGGGAAACACTCTTTTTTTTTCATTATTTATTTATATCTCACCCATTCCAAAATAAAGCATTTGAAGTGTTTCAACAATAAATACAATAAAACAAAATTCAGAATATAAAGAGATAAAAGTAGGGGGAAATCATCAAGAAGGGAAATAAAGGCAAAGAAATAAGACAATGCCCATCTAGTTTCTTGTGTAGTTAGTAGAGTTGGGGCAACTCTGAGCTTCTCTTAGAGGTCAAAACAACAGCAAAAAAAAAATTTTTTTTTTTTCTTAAAAGAAAGTGGATAATAACAAACCAAGGACAAATTGGCACTAAATTCTCCCTACCTCTTCAAAAATGTATCTGCATGTCCTAAGTCTTACGTATCTGACAATGGGATATAAGGACTCATTGATAGTATAATCTTCATCTCCAACCCCACACTATTGGGCCCATTTTATAGATCAAGAGATGCAGAAATAAAGATTTGATATTACCAAGGTCATATAATGAGTTATGAACGTAAAAATACCAAATTACCCTCTGAGTCCATGTAATTACTAAAGCAAGATTTATAAGCCATAAATGCAAAATTGCACATTTATACCACATCAGTTTGTCTGAAAATCATTGTTATCTCAGTACTTGGTAATTGTAGCTTTTTGGTATATATACTCTCAGTATCTCACTACTATATTGAACAGAAGAAAAAAACATTAAAGTAAAATTATATGGCTTATCCTCACATGAATGATTTATAAAAATCTCAGAATAACACACCTGCTGTAAAATTGAAATTTGCTAACTTATAATGAACGGAATAACCGTGCATAACTAATTAATATCATGTTTGCCAGGGACAGACACAAGCATTTCCAAATGGAGAAACAATGTGTTTGTGACTACCTAGGATGGGATTTAATTTTGATATTCCAGCCGTATTTGTAATTATTTTGGCTATATTGGTGCATCATGCCTCTTTGCGGACAGTATTATAGCTAGAATTCTGAAACCATGCTTAAAAGTAAAATAGAATTCTCAACAGAGAGGCAGTAGGAGTGGCAGAGGGTGGGGGTGGCAGGTGTTCATGTCTGGAAGAATCTATAAGAGCAAAGTGCCGAGTGAAAAGGAGGAAACTCAGCTGGTTGCCTGGGTGTTTCAGTGGATTACAAACTGACCTGAGTGCATTGGCGCAGAATGAAAAAGTTTGAACCCAGCATCTTAAACAAAGATTTCCTTTTTCCTCTGTAGTGTTTGGCTTAGGCTACAGGAGACGGCAGTGGGCCATCTCCTCTTCAAAAGGAAGAGAACAGTGTAGGACACAGAGCACGGACTGGCTGGAGGAGAGAGAGCCCCGATCTTGTGTGGAGTGGAAGCAAGTAACAAAGAGGTTGGAAACTCACTCCTGGAAGTGACATCATCACGATTCAGGTGGTCCAGAGATAGCGTGGATTTCCTCTAGCCTTTTGTCTGCAGAGTCCTTTGGAGGGAGATTTCTAGGTTCGACTGGCATCTTTATTCCAGTCCAGTTCAGCTCAACACCCCAGTACTTAACACTATGATGCTTTCTGCACTGCTGAACTCTAAAGATACAGAGACAAAGGCACCTTTGGAGGAATTTCTTCTGGTTGGGGAAGGGGTGACATACAAGCTAGCAATTTAAATTAACATGATAGGTGGTAAGGTGGGGTGTTGTGTGAGCACCATGGAAGTGTTGTCAGCTTAACTTGGGTGTTTAGAGAAGACGTCCCAGGACAGAAGAAATATGGGATACACTTAAGTCCAGTCATTTCCTAAATTGTCACATTAAGATCTCATTCTGTAATTATCCACTACACCCAGTGATCCCCATCTTTTCTAAGATGTCGCCTAGCAAACTGCATTTGTCAAGGAAGGATTTATTTATTTTTTCCTGTTGTCACCAATCAAAGGTAAATCTAGCTGCCAACATAAACCTCTGTTCTTCATTACATATCCAATATGAATCTATAGTTTTACTAAAATATGAACCCAAAATGTGTCATTTATCCTAGATCTGTGTATGGTTTCCATATCTTTCTCCCCTGGGAGACCGAAAAAATATATATTTTGCAGAACCTCCATGTCTACATTTGTGGAACCTTGGGTGACTGTTAGAAGTATCCAACATCAAGATAGTCACACAAGAAGATTCACTGAGGGTTCATTTACCCTCATCTCTTTCCTTTTATTGATTTGATTTTTTTTTTCCTTCATGTTCTGATATTTTCTGAAGCCCCTCCATGTTGGAACATTGGTTATGAAGAGTTCTTATTCTTTTTTTTTCTTATTCTATTTTTTTCTCTCATGTGCCTAAATAGAAGTGTGTTGGTATATTAATGCATGATCATTTCTCCAGAGGCTGGGACCCTGCTGTGGACTGTGGAGGGATCGTAGGAACAAGTAGAAAATTTTATACCTTGCCAGCCAACTCCCTATTGAGTGCCAACATGAGGAAACTGGGCAATGAGTTGGGAAGTAGTGTCTACACCATCTACAGGACTTCTACAGCCCTAGAAAGATGTGGACTTTGGAGCAGATGAGCATATTCTCTCTCATACTAACCTGGATAGCTTATTTAACCTCTATAGATACAGTTTCCTTAACAGGAGAGTGAAGAATGCTCCTAACCCTATACGGTTGATAGAGGGTGAACTAGGGAGATCCATGTAGGATTACAACTAAGTAAGGTCCATGCTATGACATGTGCATAGTGAACGATAGCTACCGCTGATGAGTTTGATGTAGTTATTGACTGTTTACCAGCACCTATATGCTTTCTAAACATCCCCTTTTGCTGTGCTGAGTACACGAACAGATCCTATGTCTCTCCCTCTATGCATTATTTACCTGTTTGCTGAGGGGCACCTGCAGTTCACAGAATTCCATTTCTCCCAAGTCACAGAGATGGTTTTGGACAGAGCCACTGCAATTGTTCATGGAATACATAGATTATAAATAAAATATATCTACTGAACACTCTCAGAGAGAGCTGAATAGATAGGGTTTTCGTATTTCTCCTTGCGTGTGATTCTGGAGTCAATTTTGATAGAGAAGTCACAATGTCCAGTCTATCTTCCTATGACTCATATTTGGGATAAATTACCTATTGGGTAATTCCCATTTAAGGGAGCTTGCAGGCTGAGGATCTGAGGATTAAGATGGCAGATAGAAGCACTGGAGAAATGCCCAGCAGACTCAGTACAGCATCTGTATTAGAAGACAGCAGGTAAACCCCAAGTCCCTCCTAGAGGAACCCCATGAGATTGTCCTCACCAAATTCTTGTTCTTAATTAATTAGTTAATTATTAAATAGCTACTTATCAAGTGCCTATGATGTACCATGCATAGTGCATTGGGATACAATAAGGTGCTCTGATGCAGCACCATAGGAGATTATTATTATTTTTTAATCTAAGCCTAAGCATCTGGCATTAGCTATAGCATTTTGTTCTTGGTTTTCTGGCTATCTTTGAGCAGTACGTTCTGCCCATTCTCAGGTAATTAATTATGACACATCTGTGTACAGCTTCCCAGAGTTACCTTGAAAAGTATTTTGAGGAGACTCTTTGCTATTTTGGGTATAAGAAATAAGGCAATATCCCAGGGGAAAACTTCTTAATGTTGGCCAGTGCAAAAATAGAACCCAGAAGCAGATCCTTTGGGGATGTTTTCAGGTTAGGTCCTAAAAATTCTCTGACACCAATCTCTGGGACTGTGTGTGTAAATCCTTCTGTATATAAATCATCCATGCTTTCTGGTTTTACTTCCTAAATGTCTAATCCTTAACCCATTTT